GATGCATCTTTTTTCCCACACAGGAACTTGAATCACTGGCTGAGTCATTATCATCGGGCAACAAGCTACACTGCCCAGACCGGGCACAGATCATCTTCTTTATCTGTTCTGTACCTCAGCAATATGCTATCATTAGTCATTCTGTTGCAGCTTGCTGATATCATCAAATTGTATTCCAGCTCATTCACAAGTTTTTTTTTACACTACTTACAGCATTCTGGAAAGGACCACGACTTTTTAAATTTGCTTTGCACCACACTTTTTCTAGCTCATTACAGTATCTGACATGTTCATGTGTATCTTCCACCTGCAACACCCTGTATCTTTGATACTAATTAAAGATGTAATAGGATCATGCTGTGAGTCTGTACAGTAGAAGCAACATAAATGAGCAGATATAAAACTGCAACAGCTGCTGACCTTTGACTCTGACGGAGAGATCCTCATTAAGTTTTCACTAAGGGAAGCTAAAGACAATGTGCAGTAGCTCTGTTATAATGTTCCACCTGCAAAGGAAATTAAAGGAAGTAAGCCAAATTTAACAATAATTATGCACAGTGTGTCTCATAATGTGTTTAAGTGATCACACTTACAGACACCTTTAACAGACAAGTTAAGTGGGCACACTTAGATGCATTTACTATGCATATTTAGAAGCAGCTATATTATTGTCTGGCTGAATGACACTCTGCTTAGGTTTTCTAGCACTGATTTAACTTTTGACTTTTGTCATTAAAATGAGAGAAATATTTCTTTGCTTTTTTCTAGGTATATGCTGTATTAATGTTGACTTCCTTTAAAAAAAAACAACTGTTGCATTTTTCCACCTGCAAAGGAAATTAAAGGAAGTAAGCCAAATTTAACAATAATTATGCACAGTGTGTCTCATAATGTGTTTAAGTGATCACACTTACAGACACCTTTAACAGACAAGTTAAGTGGGCACACTTAGATGCATTTACTATGCATATTTAGAAGCAGCAAATACTTTTGAAAATATTTTAATCCACAGCTATGAGCAAGTGAAATGCTCGCCACTATAGGGTCAGTGTGAACACTATTGACACACTAAAAAAACAGTTTGTGAAAGCATCATATTACAACCACAGGCATGTTTTATTGTTAGACAGCCTCCAGTGGCTGTGGTAATTGTGATGTATGATGTAGTATATTGAGCAGTATAGCTCAGCAGAGGGAGGTGGTCAGGGTAAATAAGTAGGTAGGTAGACACAACACAGGAGTTGGAGACAGGAGCCCACTGTTTGCTTTACAATGCAACCCAGTAGTGGTTGTTTCTTTTAAGCATAACCATTTCATAGCCTTAATTAGTTGTTTATGATTGTAACCATGACAATGAAGGTA